TGTGACTGAGCAACATCGCCTGCCTAGCTGGGAGTTTGCGGTGGAGATAATCATTGTAGGCTGTTGCTTAACCTAGGTGTTGGGCGTGTGGGAGGGGGCATGTTCGTATTTCTTCTAGCGCTCGTTAAATCCTCACACGCTGTTCCTCTTTCTCTGTGTCAGCGAGTACCCTATCATTTCAGGTGACGATGAAAAACTGGGATGATGAAACATCACAGATGCTGACGTCTCTCCCCCTTCCTCTGTGCTCAGACAGAGTGAGACAGACACAGACAAAAAAAACACACACACACACACACACAACCCAAACACACACATCTCAGCATTCCCTTCACATCTCACTGCGAATGCTCTCTGAGTAATGCTAGAGCTGGAGCATGGCACAGAAAATCTCCGGATGAGCCTTTATACATATATGGATGATGAGGATGCATTCTGAGTGCCACTAGCCTTGCGAGGATACGTGGGTCAGGAAAGGGAGGAGCAATGTGAGGAGAATTCAAAATAAATGAAGCTACCTGAATTATTTAGAGGTACAAACTGAGAATTCAATCTAGCTTTTAAAAGAAGGTGGAATATTGCCACAAAAAGCCATCCGTAGTCCCCTTGTACCCATCCTGAACCGCCCACTCCAATGTTAGCCACTACAGGAAAGCTAAAAAAGTCCATCCATTAGGCGGGGAGAAAGAGATGGAGAGGTGCAAAGAGGCTACAGGTCCACCCCCTGGTTTCTCGGGTTTGAGTCACGCAGGGCTTACCGGTCTCCCCCACTGTATTTCATCAGCCCACTATATAAAGCCAGCAGTTTATTCCTTCACACTACCTCCCTCCCCACACTAAATATATTTATTATCCCGCTGTGTGTTGCAGATGAGCTCCTTTGGCTGTGTTTCTATTACTGGGCAGAGTGCAGGAGGCCAGACGGAGAGAGGCAGGAAGAGAAAGAAATCAGAGTAAGCAATTCTGTTCGCCAGCCAGCTCGCGGTAGCAAGACTAATGGCGGCAAAAACTGAGCGCAGCCCTAATCAATACACATCTCTCCTAATCAAACAGGCCCCGATGAATCAAACGGCTCCACATGCCTCGTACGATCTGCCGCCGTCAGATGCACTCTTACCCTAAACTGCTCACACAGGAGTGACAGCTCTGTTTGTGAGCTCTTGTATCTCATTAGTTACTAAAATCCCCTCATATGTCTCCAACAGGTGCTACTAGCTACTAGCAGATGTGAGCATGTAAAAACAAAAGATGTGAAAAAAATACAGCTGAAGCATCCTGAAGCAGGACAGATGATGCAGCAAAATAAAGTAATGGCAAAAGCATGGGATGCTTCTGAAATTACTAAATGCTTAGAATGCTGCATATTCTGTGACTCATTAACCCAATACTTGCAGGTCATATAGAAGAATTATGATTTCATGTACTGCAGCAGGTCAAAAACACCACCGTTTATTGTTGAACAAAACATTAGCTTCCATAGGAAGGAGAGCTATCGGATAAAATCTCAGAAAATATGTTAAAGCTAATGCCTTAACGTCAGCTAAAGATGTTTGCACAAAATGACCAAAATGTGCAGATGCGTTCTCGGTGGGCATGTCAGTACTTACTGCCTGGAATTACTCGTGTCGGTCACTGCGAGAGGGTTTGTGTGTACATCCGAGACCTGCGGGTGCTCTTGGCTGACCTGAGAAACAGGTTTGCAGAGCCCTGGGGCTTTCCAAACGCATTTGACATGCAATCCCTCAAACCCCCTCACACATAACAACATCTCCTGCCAGGTAAGGGCCTGTTTACCAGTGCATGGGTCACAGTCAAGTAGAGACAGAGCTGAGGCAGGCGGGCCTCGGTGCATCAGCCTGCAGCCGGATGGAATGACTGAGGAGAGATGGAGTTGGGGCTTCATTATGCAAGCCTTGAAACACAACTGAATTTGCAGGAGGGAGAGAGCTAAATTGCGTAAATGTCACAAGGCGTCCCTTGAGCTGCTTTTGAATAAGAATCTGAGCCACATCGAGAACCCACAAAAATCTCTTTGCCAGCAGCTAAAGTTTGTTTTCGTCATCAGCTAATCTAACCAAATACTTTGCTGCTTAAATATTTTGTATGGAAATTGTCAGAAAATAAATTGCAAAGGCATTCAGTTTACTAACATTTAATTCTATAAATCCGTCAAATCTTCGCAAACTGAAAGGTTGGAGCTAGACAATGTTTGGCATTGTTTTCTAGAGACGGATTTAAACGATTAACTGCTTACCAGAATACTTGTCGTTTAATTAATCACTTAAAAGGGCTTTTCTCTTCTTTTTTTTTTTTTAGCACAAAGTCTGTTTATGATAGAATCTAAGCAAAAAGCAAGTTGTTTGTATCAGAGTGGCCCCTTCCTGGCTTTGTGCTCAGGGTAAAAGCACCTGCAGAGTGTACATCCTCAAACTAGTGTAAACAAGGCCAGACTACTTTACAAGAGCTCGCATGCATTTAAATACTGAGCACAGGGAGTATTGGCTAACGTATTATAACATAGTCCAAATATAAAGCAGAAACTTCACATGTGTGATTTTAACTGAGCTAGTGAGTAGGAGGAGATCTACGAGTTACCATGGTGCAAAAAAAAAAAAAAAAAAAAGATAGTGAGGTGCTGCCTGGGCGATGGCGTTTTTCATGTGCCTGTGCTGTTCTCCTCGCACTCAAGGCAGGGGCTCCCACAATGAATACTATCACATTTCCGCCAGGCTCCACCTCTCCACAGATCACACTGCTGCCTTCAAGGGCTTGAACGAACATCAAAGGCAACTGTGTGATTTTGCATTCCTGTCAAGAGCATTACAACCTCTGGAGCTTCCCCCCCGATGAAAAGCCCTATCCCGCTTGTTCCCACAGCCATCTTTAATGATTTTCCAAAGGGTTTAGTGGCACAATGCATCATAGCGGGAGAGTCAAGTGAGACACATGAGGCTTCCACTGTGCCTTTTGGTATGAGCAGTCACTCTCTCCCGCTTTCCATCTTTCTCCCTCCCCATGATGCACGTGTACCTCCCGTGGGCAAGGGGAGGGTTGGTGTGAATCAGGAGGCAGAGAGCCAGAGCCTGTGATAACGGCGCTTGTGTGCATCAATGACAGTGTGGCTGGCTGCTCTGCACAAAATATTATTTACAGCTCACAGTGAAGAGAAATTACAGCAGCAATCCTCTCCAGAAGCAGGAAAATCAGCTGACCTGGCAACACTTAGAGAGAGGCCAGGAGGAGGGTCAGGCACTATAATTATTATATTGCTTCTCCTTATTCACTGTCGGTATCTATACGGCTCACATAGCGTGTGGGGGATTCAGCTCACCGGTGACAACAGGTTACTGGTGCATAAGGGGATGATAAAGAGGCAGTAAAGGCGGTTTAGCATTTATAAACCTGGCCTTGCAGACGGTTACTCCACTTCCCACCAGCTCACTCATGATTAACACATAAGAAGGGGGCAATGAAACCAATGGATGCACTTTAAAAGGGTAAGCGTTAAATTGACCAATTGTGAAATATGATGTCAAAGCAATTCATGTTGGCAAAATACCAACTTCTGACACTTAACTAATTTGGTGGCTAAACACAAAGTTACATCAGAGCAAAAAAAGTACATCATCAGAATGAATATGTATCCACAGGAGGGATGAATAATTATTATATATATATATGAATTAATCTGTTGATTATTCTTCTCTAAATGTTTGTAGAAGCAATGGTCCAAAAATACAGAAACATTCTATTTAAAAGGGTTTCAAAATACCAAAATGAAGCAGATCATCAAATTTAACATCCCTGCACAGGCTACCTGTTAAATACAGAATTGATTTTAAGGTTCTTTCAATATTTATGAGGCCATGCATTGGGTTGGCAGCCGGGTACAGGACCTTCTACTCTACCGCAAGGCCTGTTAGATCCAGAAAAGCTGTTCCACCGTCCAGGCTGGTGGTGAAAGAAGATTGTGCCTTTGCAATGGCATCTCCAAAGCTGTGGATTAGCCTCCCTCTTGCAATCAAACATTCCTCCTCCATCCACATTCTTAGAAAAAACACACTTGTTTTCAATGTCTTCCGGTTGCTCTTGGTGGTGCTGCTATTTTAATATTTCATTTTTTTTTTCCCTTTGAGGAAAAGATCTTGTAAATTGTTCAGTATTTTACATTTATTGATTTTGCAAGTTTGACCCTGTTTTTTGTCTCGCTTTTCTGCACAGATCTTTGTTGTTGCCTGCTTTACAACATGTACATCACTGCGAAGGCTCTTTTAAAATGTGCTCTATGGAAAAACTTGATGTACAAATCAGCACCCAGTGGCATGGCTATGAAACACTTGTTTTGATCAAATGGCAATCTTTGGTCAAAGCAATCAATCGATCCACTGGTTGTTTCTACTGATACCACACAGGGAAACACGTCGGTTGATGACTCTCTGTATGGCTTATAATTGAGTGTATATTTTTATCATTTGAGGCCCCAGAGAAAAGCAGCAGCACACATCTCTGAGAACAGGTAGGTGTCCTCTTAAATGAGCTTTTTCTTTTTTTTTTTAAACAGACTGTACAGTTGGCGCAATGTTTTCACTGTGAGGTGAGTTCACATGATGGAAATCACAACTATGTCCTAACAATTCCCACATGTGAGCACAAAGTACAGTTTAGCTAACATCAACTTGCATCTGTCGTGACTTCCTGGCTGGCAAGAACTTACCTAGCAGTTAGCTAACTGTCTGACTACCCAGAACCGAGAAGTGAGCCAACATCTGGTTGGTGTTGTCCTCAGGGGTGAAGTAACAAGTTTGCTGTAAACCGGGTAGTTTCTCAACGCGTTTAGCGGGAATGCCACGGAGGAGGAGGGGGGTGTCGGTTAACGGGCAGCCCAGCTCCACGGAGGGCTGATCCCGGGCAGAGTCACAGCCGTCAGAGCGCTAGCAGGAGCAGCTGGATGTCATAAGCTAACAGTGTGTGTGTGTGATGTTGATGCCAGGCACACATACCAAGCGGTTCAGCCTTCTCCGCAGCATCTTCTTATCTGTCTTCTTGGGTTTTTTCAACACTGATGAACTCTTCTGATTCAACAGACGCCTCCGGGCTCTGCTTCAGCTTCTCCGGGGAATAACTTTACATGTATGTTAGTTAACGAGCTAGCTCCTTAGCTATCTATTCTCTACTCTAACGTTAGTTCTAGCTATATGAAATGCCGCAGCGACGCTACATCGTTTCCATTTTGTTTGATTTCGGTCTCTTCGCACCATTCGCATTCTCTCTCCCCTGAATATTTTCCGCGTTGCGGTGTACTAGTCGCGCTTCCCGTTGCTCAAGGCTCTAACAGTCCCTGACATTTCGCTCTGTGCCCTGTTGCTTAGACTCACACAAATCATTTGTCGCTCTCAGGTCTGCTCCCCCGCTGACCCGAAAACTGCCCACCGACACGGCGAAAACTAACTTCTCCTGTCAGTCCCTGTGCACAGGTCGCCTCACCTCCCTGTCAAACAATTTTCACTCTAACAACCAGCAGCAGCCCACTAACGTTCGCACGTTCACAAGCTCCACCCGGCGAAGGTGCGGCGACTGTGGCGCGCACTGCACTCTGGGTAATGTGGTCCCAGCTGCCAACACACAATCCCGTTTTCATGCGTGTTGTCAGAGGAGGCAGTTTGTGGATGCACTCAAATACATCACTGAGCATCAAAGAGAAGCCAAGTATGCAGTTATTCTCTGTTATATATAGCACAACTACATACTGTGTATCGATGCAGTTGATTGATTATATATTGATGCATATCTTATATTAAATATATTTAGAATATATGCAGGCGTCCTCAAATGTATTCAGACCCTTCCATTAAAGAAAAAGCACAATTCACAATAGTCAGTCAAATAACTAGAAACTGAAAAAAGTAATTATAAATAAATTTTAAAAATGTTAATTATAATTTAGTGAAGTATGACATTGCTTTGAATTGTGGTTGAAAAGAATAATTAAACAAACAATCAAACAAACAAACAAAACTGTCCCCAACTTTGATGATGAGCAGTGAGGCAAAATACCTGTCAACAGGTGCAGAAGTCTGATGGAGAGTTACAGAAAACACTTGATTGCAGTGATTGTCTCAAAGGGTTGTTCAACAAAATATTAGTTTATGGGTCCCATCGTGCTTGTTTTTTTGTTTATTTGTTTGTTTTTAGATATTTCTGTTAAACCACAATTCAAAAGCAATGTCACGATTTTCTTATTTTTTTATCATTGCTTTTGTCAATTTCAACTTATTCAGTGACAGCTGTTTTTTTCCTTCTTTATTGGGAGGGTATGAATACATTTGAGGACAACTGTAGAAACATGTCATATTGCAGTGAATCATAGGGTGATAAGGGGCTGGGAGTGAATAAGTCTATACTTCTTCCCGCTCCTTTTCGAACTCGTGTTTGTACATTTTTCCCCCTTGTTTTTTATTTTGTTTTTAGTTTTTGTTTGAAATAAAAAAATAAAAAAATAATTTAAAAAAGACGTTGCAGAGGATTTTTCGTTTTTCTTGGGAAAATATGTTTTAGATTTCAATTCAATTCAATATGGGGATGTGGATATAGATAATGGATGGATGGATGGATGGATATTTTACCAATCATAAAATCTTGGGGTTGTGCCATTGAAGATCACATCAATGAGCCTACAAAATTTCTAGCTACATTATTTCTCAAGCTATGGCACTTCAAACATTGCTCCACAGATTGGCGAAAACGATGCAAAAATGGACATGACCCCAGATGTTACACATGGTCAACTCAATCAATATTCACCACTCAAAAAAAGAAAATGTAATTGAAGATGGTCAGGAGTGGGGCATTCCATGAATTGAGGCATAATGGCCCTATGCTTCATTGGCATGGGTGTAATGTAGTGTAATGTAATAGATATGTATAATTTATTAAGTGCAATTAAGAAATCGAATAAGATGATTTAAAGATTCAAGATATTTTCTTGATCACAGGCTTCTTCAGTCCAGCCAGTAATAGGCAAAATGACTGTTTCACAACTCTATGCAACAACAAGAAGTTGTGTGGAAAAAACATTCCTTAAAAATGGAAAAAGTCAGGTTTGTTTTTTGTGTTGGTGACTCTCTCACTTTAAATAACAAGTGGTTATGTTGAAAACTGTTTCCGCAAGTGCATAAAGAGAGGATGTGGATTTTAAAAATGTGATGCTCCTATGTAATGCTCTGATATTATTCATGCTGTCAAGGACAGCAGTTCAATATGGGTTGTGTGTTTGTGTGAGTTAGTGTTCTGAGCCACGAAAGCATTGTCACCAGATGATCACATAGTCAAAGTGGTTTGGGTTTTATATTCAGCAGGAAACTAGTGGTAACATGAATAGGGTGTGTAAAATGTTTTGGAGTTACAAAGTGAAGCCATCTGGCATTAAGCAAGGAAGCTGTTAGCAAGACTCCCTCTATAGGAAAACTCAGTCAATATTCCCTCAAAGGTTATTTACAGGGTTGTGCCAGTTTTGTGGTGGATAAAAAGATTCAACATTCAAGAGATGTTATTTGTCACATGCTCGTAAGGTGCAGGCAGTCATGCAAAGCTACTGTTCCACCAGACTGCACAATAACAACAAGAGTCAGGTGTTGGGTGCCCCCCTCACATAATATGTTCATTTTTATTGTCCCCTGGTTCCCTGAAGTCTTGAATAAACAAGGCCAATGTTTTTGTTTCAAGTGTTCCTCTTTTAACTCATTGTATTCCCTGCATTTTAAGAGGAAGTGCATCTCTCTTTACCACACCTGTTGTGCAGTTGCCTCCTTCTGCTGTTGGTAATCATGACTTCCGGTGTTGTCCTTTCTCTGTGGTCCGTATTTGGTCAGGATCTATCTCCGACATAAAGCTCAGCACAGCCATAAGATGCAGCTGTTATTATAAGAATATATATCAGACAACTCTTTATATAAACGTGTCCTAATCATGTCCACTGTTAGTTTCTTTTTATAGCCCTGCTGTTAAGTATTGATCGGCTGCCTGATATAACTCAGTTTTCTCTTTTATCTTTTTGTCAATATAGTTTCACCTCTTTTTAATGTAGTCAATATGCTTCACGGTAGCTATTCTATTCATATGGCTGTCTTTATGTGTGTTCATCCTTGTCACTTTCTCCATGTATTTACATAAACTATTGCATGTTATTACTTTCTCTTGCAGTGTGTGTTTTGTCCACCCTGTCCTCTCTCAGTACGTCTCTGTGGGTATTTCTAGCTTCAGAGCTGCATGGGTCTGATCTGCATCTACAGGTTTCCCCGATACATTCAGTGTTTATTTTCTCTTGTTTGTTGTCTGTATCATTTTCTTTCCGCACTTTACCTCTACTAAAACCGGTTGAGCCAGATGGCTGCCCTCCCTGAGACTGGTTCTACTAGAGGTCTCTCCCTGGTAAAAGGAATTTCTTCCTCTCCAGTGACGCCAGTGTATTTGGTCATAAGTAGTCCTCGGATTTGTAGGGTGATCCATGTATAATTTTGCAGGATCTTACCTTTAATATTTAAATGGGTAAGGTAAATTCATATTTTATATCATTTTTGTTGTGTGATAATCCAGTCTCAAGGTAATATTTAAATAACTCATGTAAATTCACATCACAAAAACAAATATGGGATCGTATCCTTAATAATACAACTTGTTTGGTAAATTTGCAATGCTGGTCTTGTTTCTTTACTTGAAAGCACTTTGGTGCAACAACTGTTGTTTTAAACGTGCTATTGTGGAAGTCGATAAAAAGAGAGACCAGAGTTGATAATAATAATAATAGTAACTTGATAACAGCAAAAATACATTACAAGCAACAAAATCAGTGTACAGTAAATGTCAAATGTAGCCTTTGGGAAATAATTTCCATGAAATTACCAAGTCCTTTTTTCAACAAAGTCATATCTTGCCAATGACTTTTAAGTTCTGATGATCTCCAATGACCTTCAAACTGCACAATACACTAGGCAAGAGAAAAACAAACCATCAGATGCAAAAGGCAAGGTATTCTGAAAACTGAACTTTGTAGAGAACTTTCTAGAAAAAGCAACATGAAACAGTAAAACAATAAACCCAGGCTCAGCAGAAGAAATTGCAGAAATTATTGAAAATGGTAAAAGATTTTATAAAAATATAATATATGTAAATGAGTTTTGAGATCTTATCCTAATTTATAATCTCGTAGAAATGCCTCATCAGCTTTCGTATTTGTATTTGTGATGTGTTTGTAGGTAGAACTGCTAAAATAGCAAAATACTACTAATAATAATGTGATATATTCTTGTTATCTTTATAATAATTCTTGACAAGATGAGAGAAAAGCATAGGGGAAGGAAAATTAGGTCGTTTGGAAATATGGTCAAACCCAATGATCTATGACCTCTTAATTTAAGGGTCAATGTTTACGTCTCACTTCTTGCCTCTAGCTTCATATGTGGGGGAAAGAGGTTTAGGAGGACTGAAAATTTTGAGTTATAATATTGGACTCATTTAAAACACAGATATAGTGTCATCAGGCATCATGTGCATATGTAATGACAACAAAAGTGCTATCGTGGCATATTCTGAAATGCAGACTAAGCTGGAATCCTGTGAAACAAGGAAACCCAAAGTATTACATCCTTAAGATCTGAACAGTTTCTCAATACTTATGTGTTGTGCGTCATCAAACTATATATTGTGCAAGGAATAAAACGCACGCATTCTAAAAATATGGATGAAAGATCTGACTAAAAAGCCATATGCTACTGTAGGAATGTTGGGTCCCATGTAGAAAACAGTGTTTTTCTGTTACATTCTGAAAAACTACATGGGAAGTCTGATGTATGTTATTTTCAGTCATGAATTATGTAATTTGGATTTAAGCTTCTCTTATAAAAGCCTTCTATAAAAGGATTATGTCTGAACCTTTAACCTCAAAAGCCATACATGCAATTTGAAATGTGAAAAGAATGTTCAAGTCAGATGCCGAGGGTTACAGGGAAAAAAGTGGAAATCCGATTCTCCTGTGGTTCTTATGAGCTTATTTGTATGTTTTGTGTGGTGCAGCATGAGTGACCTTAACAGCCATTTGCATGCGGTACCAGGTTTGCATTTTGCTTTGGCGACGCCGTCAATTTAAATAACACGTGGTGATGTTGAAAACTGAGACAAGTGCACAAAGAGAGGATTAAAAACATAGATGCTCATATGTAGTACTCATATATTATTCATGCTATCAAGGACAGTTGCTCTCTATGAGTTTGTGTGTGTGTGTGTGTGCGTGTGAGTTAGTGTTTTGAACCACAAAGGCATTGTCACCAGATGATGGCATAGTCTATGTGGTTTGGGTTTTGTTTTCAGCAGGGAAGCAAGTGGCAAAATGGATAGAGCTCATCATGATAATGCACAAAATGTTTCTGCGTTACAAAGTGAAGCCAGCTGGCATTAACAGCATACAAGGAGGAAAACTGTAATCAAGACTCCCTCTCTAAGAAAACTCAGTCGATATTCCCTCAAAGGTTATTTATAGGA